AGGCGGCTGGTTGCTGCTGCCAGAGCGAGGTACAGGCAGGATGCAAAAGCACCCGTAGAAAAAATTAGCGCCTCCCTGCCAAAAGGAGCTGGGCATCCTCAGGATGCTACCGCTCCCCTGCATGCTAAAATAGAGTATTTGGGAGGGGATACCCCTTTTTCTCCCCCCTGTACCAACACTTTTGCTGCCAGAAGGTGGTGGCATTGCTTGAGACAACAGGACAGGGCTGGGAGAGACCCTGGGATGGTCTCCATCCTCCCGGCATCCTCCCGGCATCCTCCCAGCATCCTCAGAGGATGCTACCGCAGTCCCGCATCTCCCTGACAAAGCCAGGAGAGGATGCTACCATGGTCCCAGAGAAGCCAGGCGAGGATGCTACCGTGGTCCCACATCTCTCTGCCGAAGCCAGGCGAGGATGCTGCCGCGGCTGCATCTCCCTGCTGAAGCCGGCACGGAGCGGGGTTGCTATGGAGATGCCGGCGCATGTGCAGCCTTTCTGAGAGGGGAATTTACTCCCAAGACTTCACATTAAAAAATAAACCACAAACAACTGTTAAAGCTGTTCGGTACCCGTGGATGTGGAGCCCATGGCAGGGGGCATCTGCCCATTGCACCCCTGCTCGCTGCCGAACGCCAAGCCTGGACTCCATCCCTGTGCCATCCCCTCTCTCGCCCCCCCCAGCCATCGCTCCCATTTCAGCGCAGCCCGGTCCCTCTGCCTGAGGGCCAAAGGGCTGCGCAGAGCCAGGGCCCTGCTTTGGGGGGTCTCCCCTCTGATTTAAGGGGTGATCCTCCTGCCAGGAGGGTGATGGCACAAAGGGCACGATGGGCTCTGCCATCCCCCATGTGCCCACCCGCTGCAAAGCACAGGCTAAGCTGCAGGCTGCATCCTGGCGGGACCCCAAACGTGCCCAAGACACGAGAACCAGAACACAAAGCAACCCCCCCAGAAACCCAGAGGACCCCTCCATGCAGGCAGCAGCTCGGGTGCGGGGGGAGCTGCCTCTCTGGGTCCTGCCATGGCCCGCGGAGCCAGTGCTTGTCCTCCCCGCCTGCACCGCCCAGCGTGGTATGAGCCACCCTGCGCATTTTTGGGAGCTCCCCAGACCTTGGGGTGGGGGCAAAGGGCCGTGCTGGCGGGGATGCCGCTGCTGTGCCGGCAGGGATGCCGCCTGGCAAGCACCAGCTCAGCCCCACGCCAGGGCCAGGCAATGCCGCAGGGTGCCCACTGCGGGCAGGAGCCAGGCTCCAGGAGGGACCGTGGGCTCTGCCCACTGGGGAAAAAACAACCCCCCCTTAGCAAGAGGGTTTGGGGGGCAGCGGGAGCGAAAAGCAGCAGAGAAGGGCGGGCTGGAGGAAGATGCTGATGCACTTTGCAGCGGGCATGGAGGTGGTTCACAGGCACTCGAGACCCCCCACCCCGCACCCAGGCAGTCCCCAGTGAAATCCCTGGCATGCGAGGGCACGGCTGGGTCCCTGCTCCTCTCCCATGCACAGAGGCCGCTCCACTTTAGTTAAAGCAAAAATAATTGGGTGGAGCCGTAATTACAGTCTTAATTCGCCTGCTCATTGAATCTGCAAGAAAAACGACAAGGCGGGGGGCACAGAAACACCTCTGCCTACAGCTTTCCAAGTCGCACGAAGAGTTGAGGGTCACCCCAAAAAATGCCTGTGCCCGGCCCCCGCCACCAGCTGTGCACCCTCGCCGCACCGCAGCAGTGGGTGGGACAGCCCTGTGCCGGGGGGCACGGGGGACAGCGGGCTGCTGCTCCCTGGGGATGCTCTGCCCCTCTCTCCCACTGACACAGTGAAGCCACCCAAGCTGCCACAGCCCCACAGCTCCCTCGGGAAAGGAGCAGGGGAATAACACCTGGTGCAGCCCTCGGTGCCCTCGTGCGCAGCCGGGCAGGGCTCCTACCTGGCACTGCCCTCTTCAACCCTCCCGGTGTGGATGCTAGGCATCACCGGAGGAGGAGACGGCAGCTCCAAAGCACAGCTCAACATCTCAAACTGATGGGAACCAGGTACTGAAATCCCAAACACTGGCATGGCTCAGCCCTGGGACGGGTAAGGCCATGGGCACCCATTTGCCTCGGCCACGAGGTCTGCACGAGTTATGGCTCCATGCGCCAAAAGCCACTACCCTGCTCCTGCAAAGCCTGGGGCTCTGTGTGGCCACGTCCTCTCCTGTGAAAAGCCCCCATCCCAGAGCCGCCAGGCAGACCCCGGCGCACCCCAGCAGCCACCCAGGCACCCTCCCGTCCCCAGGCTCCGGCACCCCTGGGTGCTGGCAGGGCCCAGCTGCACACGTGGTCGCTGGCGCGGCTGCAGGAGGATGCACAAGGACTGGGGTCGGGTCTATGCGCTCCCCACCGGCCCCAAAACCACCCCACAACTGCGGCGAGCCGGGGCTTGGGGTGAGAGGGAGCAGAGCTGCCATCCCCACAAGGATACGGCTGCCACGGAGAGGAGAAGCCAGAGGATGGGGAGCAGGGGTGCTGTGCAGAGGTGCGGGGCAGGTTTGCAGGCAGGTTGGCAGGCAGGGCAGGGCAGGGGGTTGCAGAAGGGGCCGCTGCAGGGTGGGTGCACGTACCACTGGGTGAGAGCTGCTTCTGGACGTATTGCCCACGGTCGGGTGAGAGCTGCTTCTGGACGCATTGCCCACGGTCGTCCTCCTGGAAGGGGGACAGGCAGGGGCCACAGGCGCCCGACCCCGGCGGGCAGAACTCCCGGCGCTGCAGGGCACAGTCCAGGCTCCGGGGACACGACACTGCTGTGGGGATGGGAGAAAACAGGTCAGGAGGAGGAGAAGGGTCAAACGCTCCCCTAGGTCTGTCCGTGGCCACTTGGTGCGGGACCCAGCCGCCCTGGGCAGCTCCCGCTGCAGTTAATGGGTGTGGATGTGCCTCACCGGAGCTGCCCCTCAGCCGCCCTTTGCCTTCGCAAAGCCATTACCGACTGCAATTAAGTATGGGCTCTAATGACCTGGGAGTCGGGCTCGATGATCTTTATGGGTCCCTTCCAACTCAAGATATTCTATGGTTTTATGACCTGCACAAGGCTGTTTGCTGCCTGCAGGGAAGAGCAGGCAGTGCCCGTCCTCCTGCATGGGACCCCAACACCCAGGGTGACGCTGTCCCCTGGGACACCCCAAGCCCCAGGGTGCCACCATCCCACAGGACACCATGAGCCTCAGAGTGTCACCGTTGTGTGGGATGCCCCAAGCCCCAGGGTGGCAGGACACCCTGCGTCCTGCAGAGCTGGCAGCGATGAGTGTCTCCAGCACCCACCTGCACCATGCAGGCAGTGGCCGAGCAGGCTGGCAGCTGAAATCCAACCAACACAAACCGATGCTTGTGTGGTAGCTGTCAAACAAAAAAAACCCCAAACACCCCCCCCCAAAGCCTCAGCACGGCTGTGACAGGTCATCACAGGCAGCAGCAGCTTCGGTTTCCATCCGTTTGACATCGGGACAGGGGAAAACGGAGGGACCCAGCCCTCCCCCGGCGATGCACCATGGCCCAAACCTCCCTTGCAGCTTTACTGGGCATCTCATTTCCATGTCAGACCCAGGGACCTCTCCGGTACCTGTGGACAGGTACGAGCCCCCCATGCTCCGACCTCATCCGGATCCAACATGCTCATGAAGCTGTGGCAGCCTGCCATGGCCAGGAGCAGCCCCGGTCCTCTCCCAGCCTGGCTCAAGCCAGTGGGACCTCCTGGGGACACAAAGTCCCTGGGTCCTACGCAAAGCCGAGTCCTGAGACCAGGTGATGGTGGCAAACCGTGTGTGGAGGTGGAGAGAGGAACCGTGACCAGCTGGGACAGTGACACACAGGGCCAGCGCACAGGTCTCACCTGTGGCGTGGGGCTGCAGGGACACTCTGGGCTCCCAGCTGTCAGCAACAGCAGCAGGAGCTGCTGCCTGGGATGGTGACACTGCTGGCACTGCCGTGGCACAAGCACAGACATCCCTCCCTCCCGAGCTGGTGGCAGTGTGGAACCAAGTACTGCTTAGTGTGCCAGTGTCCTGGGCTGGGCACAGCTGGATGGGGGTGTGTGCACAGCTGGATGGGGTGCACAGCTGGATGGCGGTGCAGCACACAGCTGCCCTAGCCCTCTTCTTCACCTTGCTGCACGTAGCCATGCCCACACCTTTCCTGCAGGCAGCAGCAGGCAGGAGAGCACTGCTGCGGGGCCCTCACCGGGAGCAGGGCCAGGCCTGGCCGCCCCCCGCC